ACGGGCCACCCGCGGGTGTCTAACTGATGTGTAGACAAACCCTCTATTTCCACGGAGAGAGCAGAGCTTTCTAGTCAGATCAAAACCAGCAAGGAGCTGGGCAGCTCTGAACCCAGAGTTCCTCCCGGATGCACTGACACACCAAGGAAAACCTCCCAACATACAGCCAGGCACAGGAAGGACAATTAACTGTTGCAGAAGCCAGCAATTAGGCTGTGTGCCCAGGCAAAGCCTTAGATTTCTTTGTCACTCAATCTGTCACTAATTCCAGCTGTCACTCGTCACGGGGAGGGAGCAAGTCCCCTTCTTATTGCTGTATTTTACATTAAACAAAACCGAGATGCATCAAGATGAACTTCCTATTTTCTTATTACAGCTGGAAAAAAAAATCACTTTTTAGATCCCAGAGCGGAATGCAAATTCTGGGCTGGTGACAGGACCGTCCCGCCCAGTGGAACAGATATCACCTCAAAAGGCGAGCCGATTTCGTGCCAGCAAAGCAGGCCCTCAGCATAAAAAACGCTCCAGAGGAAACAAAGATAATTGAAGAGCGGCAATTACGGCTAAACAATGACACGATTCCTGCCTGGCTAAATACAGGCGGAGAGATTAACACATTACATTTTGTTTGTTTAGTTTTTAAGCCAAAAGCATTTGACACAGTGTAAACTGAAGTCCAGCAAAGAAGCCTGTTAACTCTCCCTTTCTCACATCAGAGACCACAGACAGATACTAGCCACACTTCTCCGCTTAATCACTTTTTATACAACTTAAGCTGCATCTAGTGACAAATGCTATTCATTGAGATTTCCAAAAATAGTTAGGGAGTCCTCCGATCTTGCTCACTGTCCCTCTATACTCCAGATAACCCAGCTGAGAGAGGTGGATTCCTCTAGTGTTACTAGTCTCACTGGAAAAACAACGAGGAATCCTTGTGGCACCTACATTTGTTAGTCTCTAAGGTGCCACAAGAATTCCTCGTTTTTGCTGATCCAGACTAACACGGCTACCACTCTGAAACTAGTCTCTCTGGTGCTGTAAGCCCTTTTTGCACTGTTTGTTCACTGAAGAATCCTGCCCATAAAGCAGTGCACATGTCAGAGAAACCCCAGAGGGCCCTTGACACTGCATGCACACTCAGCCCAGTATAACCTTCCATGCCAACAGAGGAGTGCTGCCAGAAACTTGTACAAAGAGAAAGAAGAAATTTCAACTGAAAACCCCGCAAAGAGTTAAACTGCTCAGGATTCCTGGAACCATCCCGCCCTGTGCTGTGATCGCCTCGTTCCTTCATAAAATAAGCCCCGGGGCTGAACTCAGTTAGTGCTTGGAGGGAAATACCCTTAAGAGAAAACCTAGACACTGTATAAAAACAACGAGGAGTCCAGTGGCACCTTAAAGACTAACAGATTTAGTCTCTAAGGTGCCACAAGTACTCCTGTTCTTTTTGCGGATACAGACTAACACGGCTGCTACTCTGAAATCTATTTCCAATGACGTGTATAAAAGAACTGGTAGCTCATTGTTCAGCAAAGCTCACCACATGACTTTCAACTGTGTACCTCAGGTGAAAAAGTTCTTGTCTACTACCTCCTGCTCCAGGGACTATTCATGGCGAGCCTACTACTGAGCAGCTTATCCTGTTTGCAAGTGCGTTTCTCTTACCTAGCAGGTAACTGATCCCCAGGAAAGTTTGCACTGCAAACTGCCAAGCCTGCAGGGATTCCTGGCAGGGTAGGTGGGCACCCAGTGCCTCACCACTTGATTATGAAGAACATATGATGGACCTCACTGTTTGTCTGGCTCACAGCCACACCCAGTCTCTGAAGGTCCTCACCTATTCAGGGCTACACTCACCTTGGGGACCTTTATGTGCAGCTGTTCTTCTCGATGCGACTCAGCCCATTGGTTGTGAAATCCCTCCTCACAGGCCAATGGCCAAATTAAGAAGCAAAGCCCTGAGGAAAGGGGGATCTTACTGGTCCTCCTGAACGGTGTCAGAATAATCAGCATGCTGCCTTCTCTTGCTGTGATAGCGTATAAAGAGCTTGTAACACTGGCCTGTGCCTTTCTGACCCAATTCTAGCCTTTGACTCTCACTTTGTACAGACATGTTACCCCAAAACAGTGCAGCTCTGTAAACAGGACTCTGCAAGATCGCTCCTGCCTGGAACCCTAATGAATAAACCAGAGACGAGGTGAAACAGGGTCTGCTACCAGTTTCATTTCAAAGACACAAGCACTGAACAAAAGGCCATGAATTCAAAAGCCCTTTGGAGTTCAAAGCTTGGAACACAGAAAGCAGCTTCAATAATACAAGGTAGAATGGGAGGGTTCTGCCTGAAGAACCGTTGATTCCATTGCATCATTACCTTTAAGTAATTAGATCAGAGTGTAACTATTGGGTAGGAATCTCCAGGAATGCCCCGAGTAGTAGATCAGCAAACCCTTCCTGTAACATTACTTCACAAAATAAGCCTCCCGCACGTGGACTAGATCATGATGAGATTCACAAGTCCTCAATAAAACCTTTCCGACCTCAGCCTAGCTGGAGCTGGTGCCGATAAACACCCAATACCTTTCACAAGGTACATCTTGTAGGGAAATTCCAACTCTCAGCATTAAGGGGCTTCCTACCACACCGAAGAGAACCCCACCCCATCCCTCTGAACGTACGCATATCTCCTCCTAATTTCCTGAGCTACCCAGGCTGCTCTGTCTTTCCCACGCACAGCACAGCTCTGACAGTCTTCAGCTTGCACAAGCACGGTGACTTATCTCCACACTGCCTGCCTAGGTCAGTTGTTTGGATATCATTAGACGGGCTCTGACTGAAGGCCCTAATGAGGTGCTGATCCCATCATCAAGTCACTCAATTCATCCAGAACGTGTCCCGTGGGATGGCTAGAAAAGACTGATGCACGAATTCCAAGTGACGTGTGACACGAAAGGGGCGCCATTCGCATCGCTAGAACTCTGCGCCTGTCAGCACAGCCATTAGAAACCCCGCTTTACACAGATTTATAATTCATCCCTCCCACACACAGAAATTGCTCTAGACTGAAACTTGGCACAAAGTTTAGTCCCAGGAGGGCATTAAAAAAACCCATTCAGCTGTTTCCGTCCCATTGCTTCAGCTCTCAGCCATTTAAATAATGGCAATTTCTCATTTCTCTTCTTAACTGAGGAAATCCAATATAAAACAACAGATTTACATAACACTGGTGGTGACACAAGCTGGCAGCAGCCAGGAAACCCAGAGCAAAGGCTGCCAAAGCTACTCAGTCATCCCTCTCTGGCAAGTTTCTCCATTTGGATTCAGTTTAGCAAAATGAGTTTTATTAGGCCTGGCTGCAGTCATGTGTAATCTTCAAACCTCATCCCCAGCCTGGTCAGGATGCCTGCCCCTGCCCTTGTACACCTCGTGTGTCTGCTTAAAGCAAAGATCCCTTCTCTTGTGCCTGATGTAGCATTTCCACTTGTGCTTCCACTGTCGCTTCTAATGCCCTTTGCAGCAATCCCTTCTGGCTGATTTACCCAGCAGTATCACTTTCTCACTGAGCTGGGAGGGAAACATACAAACCAGAGGGGAGAAGGACTACATTGCGAGACAGAAGAACTTGGTCATTACAGTCTGAGCTTTGATCAGAGACTTTTTGTTCCTACTACTGCCACGTTCAGCTAACTGAACCTGCCTCCAAGGCTCGACTAAGACACAGGCACCCTAGGGCCATGCCTAAGACCCCCCCAGTTCGCAGTTACATCAGAATCTAATCTAAAGCTTTAACTTTAAGCAGGGAAAAAGAAGTTTCTAGCCCTCATGGTTGCGAAAAAACTTGAAAATGTGACCCACATGTAAGTGATGCAGCAACATCTGCCTGGGTCTGCCGACAATCTGAAATGATAGCTCAGAGATGTGAACTGCTCCATTCATGTCAATGGGGTGTTAATCCAGAAATCCACTGCTCAGGGCGGGGGGAGGAGATGCACACCAACACCTCACCGGCAGAGAACTGTGGCATGGAAGGAGAAGAATGAAAGCAGGCCTGTTCCACTCACCCAAGCAGGCACACACCTTGGCTGCAGGGGTAGTTAATTGTCCATGCTTCCCTGCCCATGCCTGCCTTTCTCAGGAAGGAGGAGGGGAGCTACCCCGCCACCAGCACTCCAAATGGTTGGGAAGGGCCATGGGAATCGACCCGTGCCCCACCATCATCACCATGTGATGATGTGCCCAGGGCCCCAGTTTGCTTTCGTATGACCGCCCTGCCTTATCTCCAACAAGGACATTTCAGACCTGATTACTATCCCACAGAGAGAAGCGCTCTTCTCACTGCATTCAGTATATTCTACCACTGGTCACACGGCTCCAAATATCTCAGCCACATGAATAAAAGCTAATGATAAGGGTCACATTTTCTGTTTTTCTTATACTAAGCCCATCACTGTGGTATCTGAGTGGGGTTTTTTGGGTCCGTTGTGGATCCTCAGGGAACCCACAAGTAGCCTAACGATGTAGGCACGTATACGGAGATAATCATCAGCCAGTGGTCACGCCAGGGCTCTGCAAACCTATCCATGAGCAGCGCTACTAGCCCTTCTGTCAATGGCCAATTAGAATAATTTTCAAATCAGTTTGGTGCTTGAAGGGGCATTTCAGCTGCTGCTGCCAGCCAAATTACTACAAACCAACATCCTTAGTGACACTGGAATATTGTATATACTAATAGAGTGCTCTGCATAACACTGCCACTGCTGCACTCTGATTCTCACTGGGGTCTTAACTGTGCTCGCAAATGCCAGCTTCTGCGGCATACGCTCTGGCTGTGCCGTGCTGGTCTCTCAGAGCATGCATATGTACTCCATATTCAAACTGGAAAGAAACCACAGCACAACAGATCAAACCACTCTGCGTTTACAAAGGAAAACAAAATTGCAGGGCCAATTTACTGACTGCACAACCATATCTGCTCTCCCACTGACATACAGTCCCATCATACCTTGTCCTTTAATTCCAAAGGGAGGTACAAAGTCCCTGATCCGTGCCCACTTTTTGAAGGAATCATCCAAGAACATTGGTGCTGGCTTGGAGAACCTGAAAAACAAAACAAGAGACACACAAATGTGAACCAAGGGAGGAATAACTTTCTGTAGGAGGCTCCGGGGACTCACTGCCCAAGTGCTGACTGCATACTCTCAGGAGGAAAACAACTGTAGGTCTATTGTCAGGTTTTATTACTACCTTGGAATCCACCCACAGAGGACCCAACGGTGTTTTGAAACAACTGTGGCACTTCACAAACCTGCAACTCACTGCCCACTCAGCAGGTTAGAAAGCCCTGCCAGGTGAGCTTAGTTACAGCGAGGCAGGAAACTCTCCGAGATGCCAGAAACTAGCCAAGTTAGAATGAGTTTTAGTTGATGCTAACAAGCCACTGCCACGTTCTTAACACAGAATCTGCTGGGGCAGAGGCTAGTAGACGGAGAGCCGAAATTGTTCGTCTTGTAGAACAACGACCTTCTGATTAAAATAGCAGAGAGGGGCTGCTCGGCAAGACAACACAGACATGTGCAGCAAAGCATTTAATCCCTAATCACTTAAACCACAAGCCGGTTTGTCTGGGATAACTGAAGCTTGCCAGGACTGGCACTCTGGCAAGCCTCTGTGGGCACAGCAGTGCCTGGAGCACTTTTCTTGGAAGTCGAGGTACACCTGCGAGGGCACAGGCAAGCGTGGGTGCTCACGCAGACATGGGTGCAAAGATGTGCATGTAGGTAGAGCTGCACCAGTGTGTTTGTGGTGTATTTTAGATACAGATGCACAAGTATGGCTCTGAGAGTATACGAATGTGCCGGGTGAGTTGTGAAAGTAGATAAAGGGGCATCTACATAGGTGGCTGCTTTCGTTTGGTCTAGGCAAGCAGAGCTACTATCTGAGCCACCACACAAACCCAAGAATGCAGACATGGGTCAGGAGGTTGTGAAATAGCACTTAATAGTTTACAGAGACTGGAAACCGATGCAGTTCTTTTCTTCTCTAATCAGAAATATCCATTCACTAAACATACAAATGATCCAGGAGACATGCCACACCAAGCCAAACAAGTACCGTCACTCCAGAACCACTTACAAATGACAGGTTTCAGAGTAGCAGCCGTGTTAGTCTGTCTCTGCAAAAAGAACAGGAGTACTGGTGGCACCTTAGAGACTAACTGTATTTTCCACTACATGCATCCGATGAAGTGGGCTGTAGCCCACGAAGGCTTATGCTCAAATAAATGTGTTAGTCTCTAAGGCTTGGTCTACACTTACCCCCCAAGTCGAAGTAAGATACGCAACTTCAGCTACGTGAATAACGTAGCTGAATTCGACATACCTTACTTCGAACTTACCGCGGTTCAGACGCGGTCCACACGCGGCAGGCAGCCTCCCCGTCGACTCCGCGGTACTCCTCTCGTTGAGCTGGAGTACCGCAGTCGACGGGGATCACTTCCTGGTTCGATTTATCGCGTCCAGACCAGACGCGATAAATCGAACTCGGAACTTCGATCCCCAGCCGCCGAACTAGCGCGGCAGTGTAGACCAGCCCTTAGGTGCCACAAGTACTCCTGTTCTTTTTACAAATGAAAGAGAACTTGCCCTTAACTTCTGGGACTGAAAGCCCGTGGAAACATTCCCGCTAGGGAAAGACAACAGCTAGTTTGTTCTTTTCTGGATGAAGAATCACGGGCCTGCAGCTAAGACAATGCCACCCTGAAGGAAAAGGTCACCATGCTACCATGCAGGAGCAACTCTGGAAATATTAGCTCCCAAGAGAGGCAGGAGTTGAGGACAGATTTAGAGGCCTGACAGGGAACACTAGTCAGCATGGAGTGCAGCAAGAGCATTTCCCAGCAAGTGCAGTAGAACCTGAGAGTTACGAACACCTCAGGAGTGGAGGAGGTGTTTGTAACGCTGAAATGTTCATAACTCTGAACAAAACATTATGGATGTTCTCGCAAAAGTTTACAATTGAACAGTAACTTAATATAGCATTGAAACTTTACTATGCAGAAGAAAAATGCAGCTTTTCCTGTTTTTTTTTAGTAGCTTATGTTTAACACAGCACTGCACTGTATTTGCTTTTTTTTGTGTGTGTGTCTCTGCTGCTTCCTGATTGTGTACTTCCAGTTCCGAATGGTGTGTGTGGTTGACTGGTCAGTTCAGAACTCTGAGGTTCTACTCTATACAAACCCCACCAGAAATCTGTTCATTTCAGAGCATTAAAACAGCAGCAGCAGCCTACCAATGCAAAACTGAAAAGCAAGCTGTGAAAAAGCATGAAAGCTGCGGGTGAAGCTAGGAAACAAATGCAACACAGCCACTTTCAGATCCCAGTACAACCACCACACAGGAAGACTGGCTGAATTCCATATCACTTGAAATATGGTGCAGCCACAAATTCAGGTGAAATCAGAAAGAGCCTGCACAAATCACTGGGAGGGGGAGAGAAGCCAGGAGTATCTAATGAACTACCAGAACAGAATGAGTCGCACCCACTCAAGCATCCATTAACAAGATAATCCACAATCATAAAAGTAGGACACAGCAGATTGCGTGACAGCTCTAGGAGGAGAGGAAGACAACTCTGCAATGCACAGCAGGCCCAAGGATGGTAGAAGAGCCCATGTAACTTTGGTGGGAGGCCAGGGAAGGCAGGCTAATCACCTTGGAATCTCTGGAAGTCAGGTAAAATAATTTTTCTGTAATCTAAATAATATTAGATTCAATATTTCTCTGATTAAACAGCCAGAAGAATTAGCTCAGTATTTACGCTGGAGGATTTATCAGATCTATCTGTGCTCTGCAATTTAAGCATGGAGTTACATTAAATACCAAAAACTGAAAGTACCTCTCTTTGGTTACTACTTGGGAAATACAGAATTCCCCCACCCCTCCCAGCACTGACTGAGAGATAGTTTCCATCACTTCTAACCAATGCAGGAGGATGTCACACCTGAATTCCAATTCTGGTATTTATTTGCAGCAGAGACAAACGGGCAAAAGTCAGGTACTGACTGTTTAGGCCAACGCTGATACACTGGTTGGAGAGTTCTTTCCTTTTTCAATGATGCTTGTTAAAAGCTGAGAGGGGGAGCAGATCCCGCCCACATGAAGAGTCCTCAGCAGACAAAAGTTGGCATAACGGGCTCTTATGTTACCCCTCCCCACAGCTGCTGGTGCAGGGGTGTGTTGAGGGCAGGGAGGGTGGAAATGGATGGAGAGAGATGTGTCTAACCATTCCCATCGGGTATAGTGTTTCAGCGACCATATCAAGCTAGGCAAGTTATAGCAGGGCCAGGGTGCTCTAACTTGGGCTGGGGGAGAGAATCAGGGACCTGTGACCAACTCTTTGTCAGCCCCCCAGTTTGATGTGCCCAAAGGAAGCTAGAAACAGCACAGAACCTGCCTCAGTGGCTGACAACACGCATGCCTCGACTTTGGTTAGTATGGACTATATTATCATAATTACAGTTTTCCCATTATTTTGATGAGGAAAAATTTACTTGCAGAAGATTACAGTCCCTTATTTACTGAAGAGAGAATGGCTTCAGAATTTCATCCCAAGGTGTATTATTTACCTGACAACCGACTGTAACAGTGCTTTTCATCATGTATATCTGGGTGTGCACCATGTATATACAGCTGCATACTGTACTGGAAATTCCTGGCGGAAAAAGTCACTGCAAATGCACGGCAGCTACTTTTCCAGTTAAGCTTCGCTATTGTAACAAAAAGCCAGGCAGGAATGAGAGATGGACAAGATCATTAGCTCATCATTCCAGGCTATCCTATCTCCTGTCACCAGGACTACAAGGACACAGGGGCACTGTGACGGAGTCCCCTTGCCTCCTGGGGATCAGCTCTGCCAGGAGCTTCGCCCTCGTCAGCGGTGTCTCTACCCATCTTCTGCTCTGTCTGCAGCCTCTCTCCCCCTCTCGGAGTGGCAGCTTCCGGTTTGTGGCTTGGCTCTCTGACCAGGTCACTAAGTTCCTCTCCTTCCAGGGAAAATCATAATCCTTCTGGACCAATGCCCTGTGCTACTCCCCAGTGGCTGGTAGGGGAATCCAGGCCTGCCCTCTACACTGGGTTCCAGCCCAGGGACCCTATAACATTTAGCCAAGGCCTGTACTGTCTTAGACCTTGCTGCTGTTTCCCTGGGCTTCTTCCTACATCACTTGCTCCCACCCTCTCTGGGTACGCCAGCCTCCCAACTCCCTCCTCTCAGGGAGTAACTGCAGCCTGCCTTCCTGCAGCCCCCCCCCTTGCTACTTGCAGCTCCTGGGCTTTTTACAGGCCCCCCCTGTTCCTTCCCAGCTGTGCCTGCCTCTAATTAGTTGCCCATGCAACCTTAATGCTACTCTCTTTCAGTAATGCCCCAATGCCTCATTAACACACAGACCTTTACTCTGCCAACCCCACAGTCCTAAAGTGTACGCGCTGTTCACTTCCTTTTACAACCCTTCACCATCACCCTTCACCATTCCATCTACCGCTGTTAAAGGACAACAACAACACAGGGTTTTTGAACAGGAAAAGCTGTGTTGTTAGTAGTCATTTAGGTAGGTGTACATATCATCTCCTGCAATTTGTATACTGAGCCACCCAGGCCCGCCTTCCCCCACATCAGCTGGGTCCCACAGGCCCAGCTCTGGCATACCTCCCCGGCTATGTCCCAACCCATTCACCCCCTCTCCAACCTGCCCCTCACCCCACTACTGTACCAAGGGAACACATCTCCCTTAAGTGCTCGCTCCCTGGTATACAAAGGTTTCTACTGCTGTTACTCCCGCCCTCTTGTAACCTGATTTACACGCGGTGCCTTGAGCAAAGGACAACTATGTTACAGCCGAATGGTGTTCCTAATCGTGTTTCAGAATGGTTGGAGGGGGCAGTTTGTGGCAGGGCCGGCGAGAGACATCACAAAACACTGACAGCTTTACGTTTGAGAGAGAGATCCTCTGACCGCTGATCAATAGGTGTACGCCCTCTCTGAGAGCCAGCGAGGTGTCAGAGCTCCTAATGTTTCTATGCCACCCCGTACATTTTCTGGTC